CACGAGGGGCAATACGACTTCACAGTTGTAGCCTTTCCCCCAAAGGGCATCCCAGGGGCCCCAAGGCGCCGCCACGATGCCCCACGAAACCTCCGACAGGCCTCCCAGAAGCCCCCCAGAAGCCCCAACATGCCCTCAAGAAGCCTTCCATCGTGCATGACTCTTTGTCTCTGCTGGGGGCCGGCGGAATGACGCAACCCACTTGAATCCGCCCGCCCACCGGGCAGAGGGGCGTGTGAGACGTAACTACGAAAGCTCCTTGCATTGCTTTACTCCCCCTCACTTTATCCCTCCCGAGAGTCTCCGCCATTGCGCCGCCCGGCTGCGCCCAAGCCCCTTGTCGGTCCCCAAGACGCCTCCGAGACGGCTTCCAAGACGAGCTCTCGATCCTCATATCATCCGGGGCGCATTTTGACACCATTTCGGCACCGTCGGGGCCCCTTCTTGGCCTACAAAATCCGCTCCCCGGGCTCTCGAGACGCCTTTGTGGCCCGTTCTCGCCGAAAAGCTGGAAGTAAAAAAAGTATCGCAAATGCTACGGTTGTTCCACGATTTTCGCTTCCCTGGAAGTGACCCTGACGCTTCTTACAACTGCTTTTCGGACTCGTCTGGGGTATTCTTCACTTTTCAAATTTAGCCGCCATTTTTGGGCGCGCTCCGGGGTCCATTCTGGAAGATTCGGGGCCCCACTTCGGACCCAAAACGGACCCAAACCAGCCTAGAACAGGCCCGGTTTGCACCAGAAGACGGACGGGGCGGCCAAAGAGGCCGCCAAGAGGACCCCAAGACGACCCCAGTAAGCGCCAACACACACACCCAAGAGGGCTCCAAGACGGCCCAAAAGGGCTCCAAGATCGCCCCAAAACATCCCAAGAGGCCGCCAAAAAGGCCCCAAGATTGCCCAAGAGGGCCCCAAGGCGGCCCAAGAGGCCCCCAGAAAGGCCCAGAGGGGCCCAACAGGAGGAGCCCGAACAAACTTTTCGAGCCCTCAAAGGCCCCACAAGAGACCCCAAGAGCCCCAAACAAACCCAAAAGGCCCCCAAGAAGCCCGAAGACGCCCCCGACAGGCCCAGATCAGGCCCCAACACGATCCCCAAGAGGTCCCGAAAGACTTCACTGGTGCCCGAATGGTACCTCTTAAAGCCTACATACTCAAGGAGCACCCAAGAGACGCCCAGAGACTCCCAGATACAGACTGTTATGGTCCACGCCTGGTCTACCTGTGTCGTCGTCCACGCCATCGTCGTCGTCATCGTCGTCGTCGCATCATCGTCGTCGTCGTCGTTGCCGTTCCCTGCGTCACCCCTACTACATTCCTCTGTCTCCTCCTCCTCCTCCTCCTCTTCACCCTCCTGGCCTCCTCTTCCTCTCCCTCCTCCCTCCCTCTCCCCCTCCCCCTCCCCCTCCCCCTCCCCCTCCACCACCACCCACCACCTACCACCCACCAACCCCCCCACCACCATCATCATCATCATCATCATCATCATCATCATCATCAGGCAGCGCAGCAGCAGCAGCAGCAGCATCATCAGCATCATCATCACCATCATCATCATCAGCATCATCATCATCATCAGCATCATCATCAACATCATCATCATCAGCATCAGCATCAGCATCAGCATCAGCATCATCATCATCATCATCATCATCATCATCATCATCATCATCATCATCATCATCCTCCTCATCATCGTCATCCTCATCCTCATCCTCATTATCTTCCTCCTCCCCCTGCTCCTCCTCCTCCTCCTCTTCCTCCTCGTCTTCATCACCAACATCAGCATCATCATCAACAACACCATCATCACCATCAGCATCGCTATCATCATCAACAACATCAGATTCCTCATCGTCGTCATCATCATCGTCATCATCATCATCATCATCATCATCATCATCATCATCCGCCTCCTCCTCCTCCTCCACCTCCACCTCCTCTTCCTCCTCGCCCTCCTCATAGTCATCATCATCAACATCATCATCATCATCATCATCATCATCATCATCATCATCATCCTCTTCATCATCATCATCATCATCATCATCATCATCCTCATTAGCATCATCATCCTCATCCTCGTTATCTTCATCCTCCCCCTCCTCCTCCTCCTCTTCCTCCTCATCTTCCTCATCATCATCAACAGCAGCATCACCATCATCATCATCAACAACATCATCATCACCATCAGCATCGCCATCATCATCATCAACATCAGCATCATCATCATCATCCTCCTCATCCTCATTATCTTCCTCCTCCCCTCCTCCTCCCCCTCCTTCTCTTCCTCATCATCTTCCTCATCATCTTTATCATCAGCATCATCAACATCGCAATCATCATCAACAACATCATCACCATCAGCATCGCTCCCATCATCAACAGCAGCATCATCCTCATCATCGTCATCATCATCGTCATCATCATCAACATCATCATCATCACCATCACCACCACCACCATCATCATCATCATCATCATCATCATCATCATCATCATCATCATCATCATCATCATCATCATCATCATCATCATCGTCATCATCATCATCCGCCTCCTCCTCCTCCTCCGCCTCCTCCTCTTCCGCCTCCCCCTCTTCGACCTCATCCTCCTCCTCCTCGTCTTCCTCCTCCTCCTCCTCTTCCTCCTCCACCTCCTCCTCATCCTCCTCCTCCCCCTCCACCTCCTCTTCCTCCCCCTCCTCCTCCTCATCCTCCTCATCCTCCTCCTCATCATCTTCATCCTTCTCTTCCTCCTCCTCCTCCTACTCCTCCTTCTTCTTCTCCTCCTCCTCCTCCTCCTCCTCCTCCTCATCCTCCTCCTCCGCCTCGTCGTCGTCCTCGTCCTCGTCCTCCTCTCCTCCTCCTCCTTCTCATTCTCCTCCTCCTCCTCCTCCTCTTCCCTCCTCCTCCTCCTCCTCCTCCTCCTCCTCCTCATACTCCCCTCCCTCCTCTCCCCCTCCCCCTCCTCGTCCTACTCCTCCTCCTCCTCGTCCTCCTCCTGCTCTTTCTCCTCCTCCTCCTCGTCCTCCTACTCCTCTTCCAACCTCACTCCCTTCGATCGATATGCCTCCAGCGGTACCACTTGGATGCCACTTCAGCCATGAAGCATCCGACACACCTCCTTCGCACAAGGGATTCACGCCCGCAGGGATCCACATGACGTTCACGATAACACCTCGGTATTATTTGAGTCATACCGATTGCACCAACGCAAACACCATACAATATACAGATGTCTTCGCAAGGCATCCCACGCAACACCGAGCAACATCCAAAAAGCTTCGGAACTCACAACACAGGCACGAAAACCACTAGACCTGGCCCGGCACAGAAACGGAAAGAGCGCTTCAGAAACAGAAACCGAAATTACTCACACCACCGTTCGTACCGGGAGCCTTGGCGTTGAGAGCTTGTCACGTCACCCCTCGCTCTTGGGAGCCTTGGTGTTCAGAGATTGTTGCGTTGCCGCCCGTTCATGGGCCTTGGCTGGGCCTTGGTGTCAGGAACTTGTTATGTCACCGCTCTCTGCTGGGAGCCTTGGTCTTATCAGCTTGTTTACGTCACCGTTCGCTCCTGGGAGCCTTGGCGTGAAGAGTTTTTTGCGTTACCGTTCGCTCTTTATTTGGCGTCCCTGGGCCTTCTTGGGAGTTCTATTGGGGCCTTTTTGGGTCTTTTTGGAAGCCTCTGGGGAACCTCTTGGGGGCCTCTTGGGGCTTCTTGGAGGGCTCTGGGGCCTCCTGGGAGCTTCTTGGGGCGAAAGGCTGGACTTTTCGGTTCGTGGTCCCCCTCTTGGGGCCGTCTTGGGGCCCTCTTGGGCCGTCTTTTTTTTTTTCGGCGCTGCAGTCTCGCTGGCGCCGAGCATCCCAAGTGGGGCTGGGCCGAATCAGGTGTCTCCCTCGGAGCGCACACCGCGGCATGGTCGAGCAAAAAAAGACAAGCGCGAGAGCACGGCTAGGACGCCAGTCAGCGGGGTCGACACGCGAATGGCGCGGCGGCCTGCACGACGACCTCGTCGAATCAAATAACTATGTTGCACCCTGCTGCGCCACCCTATTTAGAGTGCCGCGGCGGGAGACTGCGGTAACCGGGCTGAGATGCTATCCAATGTAGCAGTAGCAAGAGGTCTCGTGAAATCCCCAGCACCATCAGTCTGACGACCGCGCCGGCGGGGCGGGAAGGAATCTAGCACTTACGGATGGGTCAATGGATAAGGAACCCTTATATAAGGAATCTCTGCGCGTGGCCGAAAATTCTTTCTCGGTCACAAGCCGCACACCCAAGAAACCACGTAAGTAGGAAAAACGCGCTGTGCCCATTGGCACGCTCTCGGATGTGTGGAAGACTCGGCGCCAGCACGCGCGCTCTTGCTGCGACAGAGGAGAGGGGAGGGAAGGGGGAAGGGGAGCGGGGAGGAGGGTCAGCGCGTTGAGCCCAGCGATTCTGCTCCTCGCCCATGACGGCCTCCACCAGCAGCCGCAAACTCGGGAAAGCCGAGCGGTGGACTAATCTGGACGCTGGAACCATGCGCGAGGAGAATGCGCACGTGTTGTTTTTTTGTTTGCTCCGGAAGCCTGTGACGGCAGAGGAACGAAACGCTGCATACGCAATAAGCATTGGAGATCCGCGTGGCTTTCTCAAGCCGGCGCTGGACACCACTCCCCACCGCGCGGAGCGCGCCAGGGCGTCCCTGTGCCGATCCTAGACATCCGCGCGGAACTCCGACATATTGTGTTTATGCAGTTTGTTTCTCTCCTAAAAGGCAAGGGACGGCGATTATTCGCCGCAGGCGTCTTCGGTAAAGCGGCAGAACAGCGAAGAAGCAGCGAGGAACAACAGCTCAAGCGCCTCACAGCATCGAGCACTAAAGCCTTTGCGAAATCGTGCGAAACTGTAGTTCCCGAGTTCCCACGCTAAGAGAACCCCAAACCACCCCAACCGAGTACTAACTCTGTTTACTTTTGAAAAGCAGCTGGGGTGCAATCCACAGGCCAGGGCGGTCACCGCGGCGAGAACGCGCCCATGGGAAGACTGCGGGTCAGGATGCTGGCCTGGAATAAGTCCTTGAGCTCACTACTCCCCGTCAGCAGTCGCTTATTACACCGCGGGCGTCGTACTGCGGCATCGTCGGGGGTGGTGGACCCTTCAGCTCCGAGTTCGCAGAACTTGAGCGTCCTCCAGAGGATGCCCTCGACGTGCTCCATTTCGAGGCCGAGGTCGTCGGTCACCCTATGGTTCTCCGCGAGCTTCTCGAGCTCGTGAGCATACAGCACGGCGACGCAACAAAGACAGCGGTGCAAGTGGCCACCAGACCGCTGGACGGTCCTCCGAAACTTCTTGGCGTCCAACTCCACCAACGTCGAGCAGGTGCTGGCCACCAGCGAGCCCAGGTGCTTCCATGCCACCCACAGGCACGCATCGGACACCCAGGCCCCGAGCGTCAGGGCGGTGCTGCTCCCCCCCTGGACGTACTTGACGGTCCCTGATGTCACCACGTAGGCCGCGCTGCTGTCTACGCCGTCCAGAAAGATCTCCTGCTGGCTCATGTAGCGGCTGTCGCTCATTGCGTTGTAGCAGACCTGGATAAAGCACCGAAGGCCGATGTGGTGCACACGTCGCAAAAGCTGGTTCTTCAGCGGAAGGGGCATGCAATACTCTCTGCGCAGACGGATACGGATAGATGTGGGCAGCTGCAACAATATTGGGAGGTCTGCTTCGACGAGGCAATCATCTTTGATGTCGACGTCCGCCTCGAAGAGCCACAAGACTCTCTGCCCCAGCGCGGCCGGGATGCCCTTGATCCTAAAGAACTGCATCAAAGCCTGCCGCCCTCGTACCCGCGACTTATTGCGAGACTTCAGCTGGTTCAGAGTACTGAACATGCTGCTGATAAACCAAGAGAACGACACGAAGCCTGTTAGCACCACAAGGATTGCGAAGGCGCGCTCTACGGCATTGACAGGGACCACGTTGTTGGTGGCAGGGGTGAACTGGGTGATGCTCCAGTGGAAGGCGACAACGTAGCAGTGGACATGCCACCCCAACTCGAGGCCAACCCCCTCCACCCAATTCCGCTCCATCCCCAGCGAGGGATCGGTGCCGTCGCGGATGCTGGCGATTCCGTACCACGCACATGCAGTGTAGTGGCAAAGGCAGAGCAGCGTGAAGATGGTCTGGAGGACCTTCAACAAGCACTCAACAGGCTCGGATGTGTTCTTCGACATCAGACCTCTGAAAACCAAAACAAATGTATGAAGACGGACGAGGCGGACAAGACGAAACAGTCTCAAAGCCGCACAGAACGCGCAGATTAAGTGAAACTATAGATCGCGAATGCGATATCAAGGCAGAGCACGGCAACGTCCATCGGGAGCCAAGTGCGCGCATACTTCAACATTGTCTTCGCAATCCTCATCTCAGTATGGGTTGCAAGGTGGAAGCCTGTCACGCTTTGCAAAGGAATATCCAGGGCCCAGAAGCAAATGTTTAGCATCGTGAACGCAAAAAATTCGTAGGTCCACAATCCAACTGTGTCCAACGGGATTACGACGAGATCATACAGGAGAAGCGTTGCACCAAGGAGGCACCATGCGACTCGCCCGACGCTATCAGGAGGTATGACAATCCAGTCGCTTATGGCTCCTCTCTGTTCGAACTCGTATCCAATAGCACTTTGCTGACTCGCAAGCTGAGTCGCAAGGCGGGTATCGCCCTCGTGGTCGTGTTCACTGACTCGCGAGGCCGCGAACCTGTTGGATTCACCAGAACTTGCATTCTCCGCCCCGCGCAACTTCATAGGCCTCCAGATCGAATGCGGTTTGAAACTCTGCTCCACCACAACACACCCAGGTAAACGCGGCCTGGTAGTCCGCGTCACCACACTGCCCATGAGCTGCGCGATGCCCATCTCGGCTGGAAAGCGCTCTGTCAGCAGCCCGTCGACCACTCTGGCCCAGTTGGCAGCCTGGGGCGGCAGCGGCGGACTGCCGAACCCGAACGCGGAGGATGCGTCAGAGGGCTCGTGGGACACGCCGTTCCAAGAGTCGTCCAGACCGTCTTCGAACGCGGGGAGAGACTGCATGGTCTCTGGCCCGTCCTCGGGAGCGGGCAGCGACGACAAGGCCCACGACGAGGAAGGCCCGCCCGGGCCCCCACTGGACCGCCTCCGCCGCGCCGGGACCCTCCCCTCGCTCTTCGCGCCCGCCGCACCGCCCGCCGCCGGGGCCCACGAGACTGCGCCTGCGGCGGCGCCGCTGGAGCGCCGCTGGGACAACGCCTGCCCCTGCGAGGGCGCCCACTCCTCCGAGCAGCCCCGCTCGAAACCTGCCACCAACCTCTCCTGCAACTCGGCCAACTCGGCGGCCAAGAACTCCCGGAAGGCCTGGCCGGGGCCTCCCTCCGCGGTGGGGGCGCCGCCTGGGCGCATCGCCGATGCGGCTCGGGCAAGTGGGCGCTCAGGCGGGGGTGCGGGGGGGGTCCAGGCCTCTGGCGGGATGACCTTGAGCCAAAATGGCTACGGAGGCCCTCTTGGGCCGTCTTGGGCGCCTCTTGGGCCGTCTTGGCGCCGTCTTGGCGCCCTCTTGGGCCGTTTTGGGGGGGCTCTTGGGAGCCTCTTGGGCCGTCTTGGGGCGGTCTGTTGGGCCTCTTTGAGCGTCTTCAACGCCGTGAAAGCCGAAAAGCCGCGCATGCTAAAAATGCACCTTTTCCCATAAGAAATCAATACATGCTTTTGGCCGCCTAGGGGCCTCTTGGGACGCCTCGTGGGGACATCTTGGGGCTTCTTCGGGGGCTCTTGCGGCCTCCTGGGAGCGTCTTGGGGCGAAAGGCTAGACTTTTCGGTTCGCAGTCCCCCTCTTGGGGCCCTCTTGGGCCGTCTTGGGCGCCTCTTGGGCCGTCTTGGGGCCCTCTTGGGCCGTTTTGGGGGCCTCTTGGGAGCCTCTTGGGCCGTCTTGGGGCGGTCTCGGGGGCCTCTTGGGCCGTCGTCAACGCCGCGAAAGCCGAAAAGCCGTATATGCTAAAAATGTACGCTGTCCTGCGGAAATCAATGATTTTGGTCTCTTGGGGCCCTCTTGGGACGCCCCTTGGGCGCCTCTTGGGGGCCTCTTGGGGGCCTCTTCGGCCGTCTTGGGCGGTCTTGGGCTCTCTTGGAGCGCTCTTGGGCCGTCTTGGGGATGGAAACCCGAAACACATGCAAAAACCTTAGGGAAAACTGCCAAAAACGGCCATTCAACCCATGTGCTCCCACTACGCCCCCCCCTGGACCCCCCCCCCTTAAGGGTTTCGCCCAACACACAACGTCATCACTCTTACCTCGCACTTTCCGTTATCTGGCCTGGCACAGAAACGGAAAGAGCGCTTCAGAAACAGAAACCGAAATTACTCACACCACCGTTCGTACCGGGAGCCTTGGCGTTGAGAGCTTGTCACGTCACCCCTCGCTCTTGGGAGCCTTGGTGTTCAGAGATTGTTGCGTTGCCGCCCGGTCCTGAGCCTTGGCTGGGCCTTGGTGTCAGGAACTTGTTATGTCACCGCTCTCTGCTAGGAGCCTTGGTCTTATCAGCTTGTTTACGTCACCGCTCGCTCCTGGGAGCCTTGGTGTGAAGAGCTTTTTTCGTTACCGATCGCTCCCTATTTGGCGTCTCTGGGTCTTCTTGGGAGTCCTATTGGGACCCTTTTGGAGCCCTTTTGGAAGGCCTCTTGAGGCTTCTTGGAGGGCTCTGGGGGCCTCCTGGGAGCGTCTTGGGGCGAAAGGCTGGACTTCTCGGTTCGTGGTCCCCCTCTTGGGGCCGTCTTGGGGCCCTCTTGGGCCGTCTCGGGCGCCTCTGGGGCCGTCTTGGGGCCCTCTTGGGCCTTTCTGGGGGGGCTCTTGGGAGCCTCTTGGGCCGTCTTGCGGCGGTCTTGGGAGCCTCTTGGGCCGTCGTCAACGCCGTGAAAACCGAAAAGCCGTACATGCTAAAAATGTACGTTTTCCTGCGGAAATCAATGATTTTGGTCTCTTGGGGCCCTCTTGGGACGCCCCTTGGGCGCCTCTTGGGGGCCTCTTGGGGGCCTCTCGGGCCGTCTTGGGCGGTCTTGGGCTCTCTTGGAAAGCTTTTGGGCGGACTGAGGGGGGAACTCGAAAAACATGCAAAGACGCGAAGGAAAACCCGAAAACGGCCATTAAACCCATTCACTCCCCCTTAAGGGCGTCGCCCACACCAAAACGTCATCATTCGTACCTCGCTTTTTCCGTTATCCCCGAGGGAAAACCCGAAAACAGCCAGTAGACTTTTGCATTCCCCCCTCCCCCCCCTGGACCCCCCCTTAAGGGCTTCGCCCAAAACACAACGTCATCACTCGTACCTCGCTCTTTCTGTTACCTGCTTGGCATAGGTACGGAAAGCGCGTTTATTTTGTGAAGGCGCGAGGTCGCTGGCTTAGTGTCTTGGAGCCCCGTTGGTGTTAAGGCTGCGGCACGACATATAGGAATCTAGCAACGAACCTTCCGAAAATCAATAATGGGATGTCTGGGCCTTCCTGGAATTCTTTTGGGGCTCTTTTGGACCGTCTTGGGGCCTTTGGGGGCCGTCTCGGGACCCTCTTGGGCCGTCTTGGCGGGCTTGTGCAGTCTTGGAGCCCTCTGGGAGCCCTCCTGGGTCCCCTTGGGGACCTCCTGTGGAGGAGGAGGACCCCCTCCCACTCCAACTTATGGTGAAAGTGGAAAACAGGCCCATCAAGGACAATGAACAAATCGTTCCGGACGAAAAACTGCCCCCGGGGAAGCGGTTGGGACCCCGGGCGCCGCGGAACTGAAAAGACATCTCAGCGGACGCCTGGGCCTCCGGGGCGCCAACCAAAAACACGAGAACGGTGCGGCATGGGTACCGTCTCCTCTGCGACCGCCCCGCGCTGAGGTCCTCGGTGCTCTTGATCTTCTTGGCGAGCCAACGCACCATGAACGGCACGGGGTCCTCGGGTCGCTCGAGTAAGACCTCCGTGACGAGGTTCTCGAGGACTGGGTTGACTCGCTTGTGGATGTAGTCCTGGTTGTCCCCCATTGCTCAGACACGCCGTCTTACGTTGCATATTCGGAAGACCGTGCCTGTGTCCCATCGCGCCGCCCACCGCGTCGAATCCTCGTCGAATCCCCGTCGAGCGGAGAGCCCAGGACCAATCAGCGCGCAACCCGTGTCGAGCCCGCGTCGGATATACGAAAAGACTGCAAGTTGCAGGACATGTATGGCAGCACGAAGATGCAACGAAAGCATCGCAACAGAGGGGGGCCAACAGAAGGAGCATGACCGTCAGCACGGCAATCCAAAGAAGCTGGCAGAGCGTGAGCCAGCGGCTACGGACGAGACAGTCCAACATGGGTCAAACTGCGGAAGAAAACGCGCGGGCAAGTATGTAGTATCGGCGAGCTCCGAACACCCTGGGGCCCCAGAGTGGACCTCTCTTGGTGGGCCTGGACTCGGGCAACCCCCGGAACGCAGTCGGCAGGGCAGCTGCTCAAGAGCACCCCGAGGCGAACAGAACCTGCCTCGAGAACACGAGAGAACTCCCTGAGCACGCGACGAATGTCTGCACCAACTTCCCTCGACATCCACCGATGCGTTTTGTCCATCAGCTGTATGAAGACCAGCAATCGGAGCTCCGCGGGGAGCTGCGAAAGTGTCTGGTTATGCCGCCGGGCTGACCCGATACTGAAGGGGGGGAACCGCCGGGGGCCTGGGCAGGAGCAGTCAGCATCGCATCGGGAAACCGCACGCGATCGCAACATGTATCAAATCGGACCGAATCGACGACACCAGGATGCACCGCCGCTCAAGCATCGAGCCGATCCGGGCCGCCCGAGAAAATCTGAATCGAATCGAATCTCGGCGGTGGACAAACCTCCCTTCAGTAGACCTCCCCTTAGTGAAAACGGCCTGGGACCGAAACCGACGGACCTGGACCCGCAAAAATGACGGCCGCGACGCCCTCTCGCGAACCGAAGACGGCCAATTCCTTAATCGACGTGTCAGGGTGGGAGGTCTGTCCACCCCCGAGAATCGGGCCCGTCAGAGCTGATGTCGGATCGGCTCGATCGGGTCGGATGAGACGCTGCCTGGGCACCTGCCTCGACCGCACCGCAGCCGACGCGTGGACGGCCGCGGCGCACCTGGCCCCAGAAGAGGACGAGGAGGAGGAGGAGCGTGACGGAGGGACGAGGTGGAGGAGGGCGAGGAGTAGGGCGAGGAAGAGACATGGGGAGGGGGAGGAGGAGGGGGAGGAGGAGGAGGGAGGAGGAGGAGGAGGGAGGAGGAGGAGGAGGAGGAGAGGAGGAGGAGGGGAGGAGGAGGAGGAGGAGGAGGAGGGGGGAGGAGCGGAGGAGGTGGAGGAGGCTGTGTAGGTGGAGCACGGAGGAGGAGGAGGAGGACGGAGGGGAGGGGGAGGAGGAGGAGGAGGAGGACGGAGGACGAAGGAGGACGAAGGAGGGGGACGGAGAAGGAGGAGGAACAGGGGCAGGGGGCGGACGACGACGATGATGATGATAATGACGACGACGACGACGACGTCTTTTTTTATCAGCATGGGGGGCTGTGAAGTTAAGGACGGCGACTGCATGCCATCACACAAATCGGCGCCCCAGGTAAGCTACAGCACATCAGCTGGAACCCGCCGCCTGGATACACTGTCCTTTGTGATATTGGCGCCGAGCGGGGCGCGCCCCCCCACGGCGACGAGGCTCATCCAAACAGAACCTGGGCAGCCTCGGAGTGGGCGCCCTCGTCAAGGAAACGACCGTTTCGGGTTCATCGTTGGCTGGCTGGCTCGAGAAGCAGGGGAGGCTCAGGAGGAGAAGTGGGGACCATGCTTACTACAACTTCCCCCAATCGTGGCGCGACCAATAGAATATTCATCATCCTCTCGTAACTGCACTTCTCTATCCTGAATATCGCGACCTGCTTTTCGATCATTGTCTTGGTGACGGTGAGGGCCGTGTCGCCGGGCGGCTGGCACTTGCCGAGCCAATCGTGCAATGAGTCTTGTTGCCGCCGCCGGTGCCTAATTTGATCAAGTGTTCCATCCATCATCGTCAGCGCCAAGCTGGCCGCGGGCCCCCCCACTGTCTTCAACTCTCTTTTTGTTGTTCGGCGCCCCCATGTCGTAGTCGGATTGAGATGGCCCTTGTATTTCTCGAGCTCCGCCGTCAACGCTGCGGGTGGTCGCGCTGCACGGCGAGCGCGTCGAAGGCGGCTGCACTAAGGATCCTCAGCCTCCAGACGCTCATCAGCGTCATCTTGAGGATCCCGGCCAATAGCTCGTTGAGGTTCATGTCGCGGCTGGTCCAGTTTTTCTCGGTGTGCTCGCCGCGCTATCGACGGCCTCCTCGGCGTGTCTTGCGACGGCGTTATCCCTGTGTGGCGTTCTTCTCCACGTTGGAAACTCGTGCGCCCGTCTGCCCCTGGCGCTTGGCTTGCGGATTTTCAGGGGCACCAGCGCTCCAGGACGTCTGGGAGGACCCCAGGCGGGGGCGCCAGTTGGCTTTCGATGCTGCCGGCGTTGCTGTTTCTGCGGACAACATACTCACGTTCGTCTGGTCGAAGTGAAGCAGGTAGTAAAGGGTGTAGTAGTAAGTGGAGCATTCAGTGTTCTGGACGTGGCTGCGGTTGCACTCGCCGACGGTGTCACTGCCAGACGTCACCTGGCTCTCGATGTTGGCGGCCCTGATGATGGCTGTGGCGTAGGAGATGGTGTGCTATACGCTGCTCGAAAGTTATTGAAGGGGCCCTGGGACACACAAATAAATACACACAAACAAAAAGATCCCCCATACTTTCCCATATGTTCTTGGCTTTTGTCTTCCCCCCCCCACTTCCCATATTTTCCCATATTTTCTGGGGCATCGACGATGAATGGTGTCTGTGTGTTTCTTTCCCTCCTGATTTATTTCTTACGTCAGCAGTGCTCTCTGGGACCTGCACCGCTCTGCGCTTCTACGCTTCGATACGAGTGCAGGCAACTGAGGCCTCGATTGGGACGCACATGGACATACTAATACTATATGTCCTCCTTGGAGGCGCGCGTCCGACCCGAACATATAGTATACCCATCTTGTAGTATATCGTTTCCCGAGCGGTGTGGCCAGAAAGCGCCCGCCACGACGCATATACTATAAGATTTCTCGGTGCGCGCGTCGCCCCTGGGGGGGCGACGCACATATAGTATAAGTATGTTGGGGTGTTGCCGATCGATGGAGTGGCCCTCACGCGTACAGGCTTGAGCCTCGCACTCGACGGAACTGGCGGAATAGGATCGGCGAGATGTCGTCGCAATTCTCGGATTATCGAACACTGGGTCGCACTCGACGATTTCCACTCGTACAGGTGAAAACTGACTTCGGGAACACAGATGTTCACGTTCCATGATCTTTGAGCGTGACGTTGGCAATGATCGATGCATGAGAACAGACTGCAGCAGGGGCACGTATTGTCGAGGGTAATTGCGGAGATGATGTTGATTATACCGTGGCCAGGAGCTGACAAATGCGCCTGATTTGGGAGTCCCGAAACGGTGCGGTGACAGACCGTGCGGTGACCTCGAAATCCCCCAAGACCTCACCGCACGGTCCATCACTGCACGGTCTTGGGACCTCGGAGGCCCAAATCACCCGAGACGTCCTCGGAGAACGACCCGAGTCCCAAAAGCGTGCGGTGACCCCGAATCCCCACCGACTCACCACACGGTGTGGTCACAACACCGTTTGGGGGCCCCCGACTGATGATGTTGACTCTACCGTGTCCGGAACATTGCTTCACAATGCTCAATCGTGTTTCTGAACGGGGCCATTAATTCAGTCTCGCTGTCCGTACCGCCAGTCTCGCTGTACGACGACGCCGACGACGACGACGACGGCGACGACGACGACGCCGACGACGACGCCGACGCCGACGACGACGACGACGAAGAGCCCTCTTCTTTTTTGGCGCGCCGCGGAAGCCCTCTGGTGCGCGCCGCGGGGGCGGCGAGCGCCGCCCCGCTCCGGGATCGCTGGGGCTCCGCGGACGAGGGGCACCGCAAGGAGGGGGGCCAGCTCGACGCTGGGGGGGAGCCGAAGGTTCAAGGTTCGAGGCGCTGGGACTGTAAAGACGAAGCCAGGAGGAGGTTGGGATGAGAATGGGTCGAGCATCTCTGAGCTCCGGCGGCGCTGGAAGATGCTTCCGGCGCCGCGGCCTGCTGAGAGCGTTCCGGAACGCTCTGAGAACGCTCCGCTCTGGAACGGACTTATCCTCGTCCTATTGGTGGTGCGCACCAGGAAGGTGGAGGAAGGGAGGAGGACTTCTTCGGAGGAGGCTGCTTCTTAGAAGGCGCTGGCCTTACATCTATAGACAAGGCAGGGGTGCTTCTGAGAAGCCCTCCCCCCTCTCGGGAGCGGCCAAGAGGGGGGTGTCCAAGAGGGGGGGGTGCAAATCATGACCGGCGGCATGTGCGCGGCCCGGCGGGGTGGCCAGGGACGTAATGAGATAAGAAGAGGCGCCAAGAAATCTGGGGAAATATCATGGCCCCCGCCATGATATCCACCCCCCCCTAGTCATCACCCCCCTCTTTTCCGCCCCCGACAAAGGGGAGACGACGAGCAACGAGAAGCAAGCAGACGACCGCGAGCGCACGTGCTGGAGGCCAGAGCCGGCGGGACCGGGCAGGCGGGCGGGCTCCTCCTCCTCCTCCTCCTCCTCCTCCTCCTCTTTCCCCCTCCTCCTCCTCCTCCTCCTCCTCCTCCTCCTCCTCCCCCTCCTCCTCTTTCCCCCTCCTCGTCCCCGTGGGCAGGACCCCCCCCCCTCTTCTCCGGCCCCGACCCTCCCCCCACCCCCCTCTGCGCGTGGCTGAATGTCGATGCATCCCCGCCTGCGCCTATGCCCCCCTGACGATGCCCCCGCCGGGACCTCCGGCGCGCTTCGGCTGCACGCAGGAGCGCCCTCCTCCTCCTCCTCCTCCTCCTCCTCGTCCTCCTCCTCCTCCTCCTCCTCCGCCTCCGTCTCGTCCTCCTCCGCCTCCGCCTCCGCCTCCGCCTCCTCCTCCTCCTCCTCCTCATCATCATAGGCCCGTCCGGATTTTCTCTTTCTCTCTCTCTCTCTCTCTCTCCTTTTTCTCCTGGCTGCATTCCGTCCTCGGGAGATGCCTTCTGGCGGCTGCGCCTCGCCGAGGGGCGTCCAGGACGGCCTGGATCGTCCCGAGCGGCGGCCCAAGAGTCCCAGGCTACGACCCGAAGACCACCGACGGAGAGTTTTCATAGGGACACGAAGAATGACATAAACATAAAAACTCGGAGATCCGCGCGGACTCCTCAGACCAGCGCTGGGGCTCCTTGGCGGCGCCTCCGGCGCCGCCCCTGGCGCGCGGAGCGCGCCAGGGAAGGGGGCCCAGCACGGATCCAAGAAATCCGCGCGGACCTCCGAGATTCTATGGTTATGTCATTTTTCGTTCCCTGTTTCAGTGTGCACCGCCGAGATGTGCACCCACAAGGGTCGCCGATAGATCGCCGGTCATCGCCGGTCATCACCGATGCGTCGCCGACAGGCCGAGGAGAGGCCCCCGATGGCGAAGCTGCGCGTGGCTGGGCGGGGAGGGCTGGGCCCCCGTCAGGGGCCCATGGGCGACTGGAGGTCGATGCATCCCCACATGCGCCTATCCCTCCTCCTCCTCCTCCTCCTCCTCCTCCTCCTCCTCCTCCTCCTCCTCCACCCCCTCCTCCTCCTCCTCCTCCTCCTCCCTCCTCCTCCTCCTCCTCCTCCTCCTCCTCCCTCCTCCTCCTCTCCTCCTCCTCCTCCTCCTCTCCTCCTCCTCCTCCTCCTCCTCCTCCTCCCTCCTCCTCCCTCCTCCTCCTCCTGCTCTTTCGCCTCCTCCTCCTCCTCCTCCTCCTCCTCCTCCTCCTCCTCCTCCTCCTCTATCCTCCCCCCCTGACGATGCCCCCGCGGAGGCCTCCGGCGCGCGCGGGCCCCCCCTTCGGCTGCCCTTAGGCTGCACGCAGGAGCTCCCCTGACATCCTCGTGGCACGAAGCGCCTCCTCCTCCTCCTCCTCCTCGTCCTCCTCCTCCTCCTCGCCTCGCCCTCCTCCTCGCCCATCACATCCCACGAAGCGCGGCGAAGGTTACCTGCCAATTTCGGCCTTCGGGGGCCCTTCTCGGGCCAGGGCCGGCGACCTTCAAAAGCTGCTCGGGATCAAAAACGTCTACAGCGGAGGTCACTCCACAAGAAACCCTCCGCAAGAAACCCAACCCTGGGACCCCAGGACGTCCATTGATTTCTGGTGTGTGCACGTCACGCTTTCCAGGGCAAGGCCATCGAAACCCAACCAGGGCACCCTGGAGGCAAGCATGGTCTTTCTTGGCACGGGTCTCCACTGTAGACCTGTGGCCCAGGACGACGGCCCCTTCAAGGAGTGGTCTGGGCCTCTGGTGAGCCACACTGCAAAAAGAACACGGCGTCGGATGTCTGGAGCGACAATGGGCCCCCCCTCGGCTGCACGCAGGACTGTGCCCCAGATGGGAGGGAGCCAAAGTGTAGACCCACAGCGGTCATGGCCAGGATCATCCTTGGCCCAAGACCCTCGTGGCCTGGGCAGGAAGGTGTGCACACCTATCTCCTGGGCCCTGCATCGCCCTGGCAAGGATCGGTGTGGGGGTACACTTGTTGCCCTCCAACAAGTCAGGGAGGAAAGAGAAGGGCCAGCTTACGAAGCCGGCTTGAGCCGGCTTGAGTCTCAAGTCCCCACTCTCCACCTCTCTTCCTCCCTCGAGTGAATCGGGGTCGAGGCGCCTCCAGAGGAGTGACGCCTGCCTTTCGTGTCCTGGCCCAAACCTTCCCTTCTCCTGTGCACGATTGCTGCCACAGACAGGCACGCCCTGAGCCGCTGCAGTAGGAGCTCGACAACAAGATCCCGTCCACAAAAAACCCAACCCCGAGACCCCAGGGCGTCCATTGGTTTTTGGTGTGGGAACGTCACGCTCCCCATAGCCAAACGAAGCCCAAAAAACCCAGGGATTTCGGGGAAGCTGGGCTGTGGATCGCAGGTGACGCCAGCCCGTCTCCAAAGTAAAAGGGTGGAGAGAGGAACGCCGAGGGTAGATGGACGAGGGAGAAGCGAGGATACAACCGGACAGAAGGATGAGAGAAGGCCTTGCCTGAGAGGGGTGGAGAGCAGGAGTACGGAGGAAGGGACAGGAATGCGACGGGATCGCGTAACAGCCCTGTCCGCACTGCCCCGCGGCGCACACATATAAAAAGATAGCCGCGCAGGGCCTCTCGGGGGCCTCCCGAGGCCTCTTGTCGGGAACTTGTTGGGGCCTCTTGGCAGCGTCCTGAAGGCCCCCATGTGGGTCTTGAGGGCATGTTGGGAGCTACACACCCCAAGATAGTGCCCCATGACCCTCTGGGGGCTCTCTTGGGCTGTCTTGGGCGTGCCGTGCACCGTCGTGAAACCCCCATGGAGCACTCTCGGGACCCTCTGAAACCGTTTTGTGACCCCCCCCGGCGCCGCCTCGTGGGCAATCTTGGACGGCGTCGAGGATATGTTACGAAATACGCTTCCCGATGCTAATGAGGCAATTCTGGCCTCCTGGGGCCCTCTTGGGGAGGCTCTTGGCGTTTACTGTAAGATTCTTGGGGTCCTCGAAGCCCCTTGGGCGGTCTGGAGCCACCCTGTCCGCTCTTGGAGCACTTTCGGGCGGTGCTGAACCCCGGGGGCCTCTAGGAGACCTGTCCGATGCAAAGGGGGGGGGGCACAATCTACCAGGGAGCTCCCGGCAACAGGGCCCCGTGCTGGAATATCCCATGCATGTTTGTATGTATGCGTGTATGCATACATTTATGTATGCACACATACATGCATACAAATACATACACAAATAACATATATATATATATGCACCCACCAATGCAATTACATCTGCAGATGCAAGCAGATTCAAATGTATCGACATATAAAACTACATTCGCACATACATATACATATACATATACAAATGCATATGATTATGCATATGCGGACATGTGTGGATGTACACTGAATTAAACATATACATACACATACACATACGCATATATATACATAAACACATACATATACACAAACATGTTCATGTAATACGAATATGCATATACATATACATGCACGTATACATGCACATATGCATAATGTCATGTGTATATATACATATACATATACAGATACGTGCATGTACATATATATATATATATATATATACATTGATATGCATACACATACATGTACACATGTACACATTAATACATATGCATGTACATGTACACATGTATACCATACTCAAAAACATACACATATACATACATGTGGACATATGCGCACGCACGTATTCACATACATATACAAAAACAATTCCGTATACAATGCATAGACATACGCATAATCATATTCATGAACACATATGGATCGCACATACATATACGTATACGAATACGAATACATATACATGTATACATACAGATATCTCTGGAAAACAAAAAAAACATCATGGCGATCGCGACGCCATTTTTTCAAGCGGCAACTTGCCGAGACACATCACCACATGGCGCGGAGGCGCTGGACCTCAAACCACCTTGCTCAAAGAATCCGCCATGCTGCGAACCCCCCCGCGAAACTGTTGTCGGCGGAATGGAGCTGGCCACAAGTCCAGTGGATCCCTCTACCAACAGAGAGCGGTCCTCGGCGGGAAACGCGTCTTCAAGACGCGTCACGCCGGTGGCGACGCATGGCAAAGAGATCTTGCCTCGTCGGTAAAATGCGTGGCCCTCGCTGGCCAGGCCCTCACCGCGACCAGGGTCGGTTCCCAGAGTGCTTTTGACAGCACCCTGGAAAGTCACGTCACTCGGCTGCTCGGGGATCGCGGCATGGACATCAGCAAGACGAGACAAAGCGTGGGCCAGCAAAACTGTCGCCGGCTGCACCGGCATGGCAGCGCCCCGACCTCCCAGCGAATCAAGCGCTCGAACCCCCCCTGCAGCCACCGCGCAGAAAAGCCCGCGGAGCACAGGCCAGGCGGAGGGCCAGCGCAAGGAAGGGGGAACATATCGCGGCGCGACTGTAAAGCCACGGTAAACCGATGACCCCCCTCAGAAGTTGCCTCGCGCGCAGCGGGGCCCCACGCGCGCTGCGGCCAGGCGAAGGAGCTCGCGTGGACTCGGCCCTCGCTGCCGCTGGGCTCGGCACCCTTCGGTCACATGGGCCCCGTGGGCCCCCTGGGGGCCCGACCCTCGGCGGCGACGGGCCCCCCCGACGCCGCCACCTCCGCCGCCGCCGCCGCGTCCGGAGCCCGAAGACGCGAGCGCAGCGCGGTAGCGTTCGTCGCCGCCCTTGCCGCGCTCCTTCAAGATTTTGCTCTCCTTCCCCATCTCGCCGGCAACGCACCGCGCCAGGCCGGGCGCAATCCGAGCAGCGCTGCCGCAGGCCACTCCGAGGAAGAGGCGCCTCTTGGCCGACACTTCGCCCGCGATGCCGGACCCTTTGTCATCCGCCTCAGCTCCTCGGCGCAGCGTTCCTCCCGCAACTGGCGCCGACGGGTCGCCCCGCGCGCTCCACTGCGCCGACAGGGACCACTCGCCATCGTTCTCGCCGCCCTCGGGCGGAAGCGCCGACGCCGCGGCAACGATCTCGCCGCCGCGGATCGGCAGCTCAAAGCGCCCGTCGGCGATGCACTGACCGCCCATGCCCACCACCCCCCACTCGCGCACGAGCTGCCCGAGACCGTCGGCGAGCACGTACCAAATCGCCCCACGCGGCGCCACGCCCAGCTCCTTCGGGAGCCCGCACAACGCGGGCACTCCGCCAACGGCCTCGCCCGACGGTTGGCCGCCCCCCGCCGCGATCGCCTCGGAGAGAGGCGCGTCGGCGAGAGGCGGGGGCGCCACTGCCGGGTGCTCACCGCTCTCGCACACCACGTCCAGCTGCCGACTGGCGCCCGCCCGCAGATCGCTGACCTCGCCCAGGTCCTCCGGGTCGAAGTGGCCCCGACGCCTCGGGTGCAGCCGCCTGGGCACGCCGCCTTGCGGTCCGACGACCAGCACGTCCACGCAGTTGGTGAACTCCTCGGCGCAGATGTCACAGGTGCAACCACAGGCTGGTGCGAGCTGCGCAGGCGGGCGCAGCCACCTATGCCACTGAAGACAGAAGTTGCCGACCGATGCAAGGCAGATGAGGGTCTCAGTGAGCATCCTTGATCAGCCGAAGATATCTGGAGAAAAAGTGGCCACGGACAAAACATTCTCATGCACGCATTTACATGTGTGTATGTCTGTCCGTATGTCTGCCTGCCTGTCTGACTGTTTGTCTGTCTGCCCTTGCCTGTATGTGAAGTGTCTGTGGTGTCTATGGTGTCTGTGGTGTCTGTGTGTGGTGTCTGTGGTGTCTGTGGTGTCTGTGGTGTCTGTGGTGTATGTGGTGTCTGTGGTGTCTGTGGTGTCTGTGGTGTTTGTGGTGTCTGTGCTGTATGTGCTATGTGGTGTCTGTGATGTCTGTCCTATATGTCCCGTCTGTCCTGTCTGTCCTGTCTGTCCCGTCTGTCCTGTCTTTTCCTCTGTCCTGTCGGTCCTGTCTGTCCTGTCTGCGGTGTCTGTCCTGTCTGAACTGTTTGTCCTGTCTGTCCTGTCTGTCCTGTATGTCCTGTCTGTAACGTCTGTCCTGTCTGTCCTGTCCTGCCCGTCTGTGATGGCTGCCCCGTCAGTCCAGTCTGTCCTGTCTGTCCTGTCAGTGCTGTGTGTGCTGCCTGTCCCGTCTGTCTTGTCTGTCCTGTGGGTCCTGTCTGTCCTGTCTGTCCTGTCTGTCCTGCCTGTCTTATCTGTCCTGTGTGTGTTGTCTGCGGTGTATGTTCTTTCTGTCCTGTCTGTCCTGTCTGTCCTGTCTGTCCCGTCTGTCCTGTCTGTCCTGTCTGTCCTGTATGTCCAATCTGTCCCGTCGGTCCTGTCTGTCCTGTCTGTCCTGTCTGTGCTGTGTGTCCTGTCTGTCCTGTCTGTCCTGTCTGTCCTGCCTGTCCTGTCTGTCCTGGCTGTCCTGTCTGTCCTGTCTGTCCTGCCTGTCTTGTGTGTCCTTGCTGTCCTGCCTGTCCTGCCTGTCCCGTCTGTCCCATATGTCCCCCCTGTCACATCTGTCTTGCCTGCCCTGTTTGTCCTGCGTGATCCGCCTGTTCTGCCTGTCCTGCCTGTCCCGTCTGTCCTTTTTTTTCCGGTGTATCCCGTCTGTCGTGTCTGTCCTGTCTGTCCTGTCTGTGCTGTCTGTGCTGCCTGTGCTGTCTGCCCCGTCGGTCCTATGAGACCTGTCTGTCCTGCCTGTCCTGTCTGTCCTGTCTGTCCCGTCTGTCCTGTCTGTCCTCTGTGTCCTGTGTGCCCTGTGTATCCTGTGTGCTATGAGTGTCCTGTGTGTCCTGTGTCCTGTGTCCAGTGTCCTGTGTGCCCTGTGTGCCTTGTGTGTCCTGTGTGTCCTGTCTGTCCTGTCTGTATTGTCTGTCCTGTCTGTCCTGTGTGTTGTGGTTGCTGTGCCCCTTTTGTGTCCTCTGTGTCCTGTGTCTTGTGTGTCATGTATGACTTGTGTGTCCTATGTCTCCTGTGTTTCCAGTGTGTCCTGTGTGTCCTATGTGTCCTATGTCATGTGTGTCCTGTGTGTGTGTGTGTCCCGTGTGTCCTGTGAGCCTCAAGTGTCCTGTGCAACATGTGTGTCATGTGTTTTGTGCGCCCTGTGTGTCCTGTGTGTCCTATGTGCCCGGTGTCTCGTGCGTCTCCTGTGTCCTGCGCGCCCTGTGTGTCTAGTGTGCCCTGTGTGCCCTGTTTGTCCTGTGTCCCGTGTGTCCCGTGTGTCCTGTGTGTCATGTGTATTTTGCGTGTCCTGTGGGTCATGTGCGCCCTGTGTGTCCTGTGTACCCTGTGTGTTCTGTGTGTCCTGTGTATCCCACGTGTCCTCTGTGACTGTGTGCCTGTGTCTGTAAGTCCTGTGTAAATGTGTGTGCGTGCGTGTGTGAATGTGTGTGCGTGCGTGCGTGTGCGCGTGCGTGCGTGTGTGTGTGTGTGCGTGTGTGTGCGCGCGTGCGTGATATGTGTGTGTGTGTGCGTGCGTGTGTGCGTGCGTGCGTGTTTGCGTGTGTTTCTGTGTGTGTGTGTCTGCGTGTGCGTGCGTGCGAGCGTGCGTGTGCGTGCGCGGTGTGTGTGTGTGTGTGTGCGTGCGTTCTTTTGCCAGTGAACGTGCACAAACAAACTGAACGAGCAGCAGCCGCCATGGCCGCACGATCGAGACCCTAGGCCCATGCGAGCAGCGACTCCGAGGGTCACCTCCGCCAGGCCCAAGCGTGCGTGTGCGCGTGTGCGTGTGCGTGTGCGTGTGCGTGTGCGTGTGCGTGTGCGTGTGCGTGTGCGTGTGCGTGTGCGTGTGCGTGTGCGTGTGCGTGTGCGTGTGCGTGTGCGTGTGCGTGTGCGTGTGCGTGTGCGTGTGCGTGTGCGTGTGCGTGTGCGTGTGCGTGTGCGTGTGCGTGTGCGTGTGCGTGTGCGTGTGCGTGTGCGTGTGCGTGTGCGTGTGCGTGTGCGTGTGCGTGTGCTGTGTGTCGTGTCTGTGTCTGTGTGCGTGTCTGCGTGTGCGTGTGCGTGTGCGTGTGCGTGTGCGTGTGCGTGTGCGTGTGCGTGTGCGTGTGCGTGTGCGTGTGCGTGTGCGTGTGCGTGTGCGTGTGCGTGTGCGCGTGCACGTGCGCGTGCGCGTGCGCGTGCGCGTGCGCGTGCGCGTGCGCGTGCGCGTGCGCGTGCGCGTGCGCGTGCGCGTGCGCGTGCGCGTGCGCGTGCGCGTGCGCGTGCGCGTGCGCGTGCGCGTGCGCGTGCGCGTGCGCGTGCGCGTGCGAGTGCGCGTGCGTGTGCGTGTGCGTGTGCGTGTGCGTGTGCGTGTGCGTGTGCGTGTGCGTGTGCGTGTGCGTGTGCGTGTGCGTGTGCGTGTGCGTGTGCGTGTGCGTGTGCGTGTGCGTGTGCGTGTGCGTGTGCGTGTGCGTGTGCGTGTGCGTGGGCGTGTGCGTGTGCGTGTGCGTGTGCGTGTGCGTGTGCGTGTGCGTGTGCGTGTGCGTGTGCGTGTGCGTGTGCGTGTGCGTGTGCGTGTGCGTGTGCGTGTGCGTGTGCGTGTGCGTGTGCGTGTGCGCGTGCGTGTGCGTGTGCGTGTGCGTGTGCGAGAGCGTGTGCGTGTGCGTGTGCGTGTGCGTGTGCGTGTGCGTGTGCGTGTGCGTGTGCGTGTGCGTGTGCGTGTGCGTGTGCGTGTGCGTGTGCGTGTGCGTGTGCGTGTGCGTGT